AAAAAAAAAAAAAAAAAAAAAAAAAAAAAAAAAAAAAAAAACCAAATTCAGAAAGCACCTTTCATGAGTCCAAAGCATGCTACAAAGTAGGTTCCAAAGCCCAAGTACATTTTTTTTCTCAAAAATCATCTAAAGTTCTAATAAGCCTAAAACATTCTATAAAGTAGCTTCCGATGCCATTTCCAGGCATGAAAATTCACCAAAACCATTCATTTAACAAGGAAAGTTAACCCAACCTGTGCCCTTCGCTTAGATAATCTTCTAAATCAAGACTTTAGGAGGTGGAAGCTCAAGGCCTTCAGTTGGGGAAATGAATTGAAATTGAAGCAAGCAAGAAATTCACCAAACTCACTCACAACAGTTGGATGAAACTAATCCAACAATCTAAATGATTTCAAACACCCAACTCCATCTAACCCATGTCAGATGAAGTGGTTAAACATGGCAGCCAGTATACCTTCTCTTTAAACTTGCCAAAATCAACAAAACAAATCATAGTAATAACCAAAGAGGACAATGAATATATGCTCCTACTCCTATAGATTAATGCAATAATGACTTGACTTCATTGCTATATCCTCATGATTTAGTTGATTAATGAAGTCGAGAATGGCTCATGCCAAGCTTATCGGTCGCCCGAAGGGCCTAGAAAAAACAAATATTCCTCTCAAGTGTTTGATGTTCGTCATTGTCTAAATTCAACAATGCAGGCATTCATATAGCATCAACTAAGCTCGATGTTATATTACGTTATTCGGAAAGCACTTCTAGCCCATGCCTACCATGTGCTTTTCCAGTTTCAGATTCAATTACTTGAAAAACGAAATATAAATGAGAATTTCAACAAGTCATGTAATGAAGTGAGAGAGAGAGAGAGTTCACCAGTTCTGTCTGTGGTTCTTCATTTTTACTCTGTCAGCAGTTCCATGTTTATCTGTATTAAGTTATTTTAATTAAATGAATACTCAGATAGCATTTTATAAATGCAGTCACAGACCAAAGGCTACTCTTTAAAACTCAAAGACACAGACATACAAACTACATAACAGAACCTGTTCAAGTAAGGTCGTGACCAAAGGCTACGCTAGAATTTAACAATTGATACTTCACGCAACAAAGATGAAATTTTTCATTGAATTTCACGAAAATTTATTAGATGATGTACCCTGCTTGCTCGTAGAGATTTAACGATCACTTTTCAAATGTAATGCATTCAAAGCATGCAAAAATATATAATGTTTTGCACAGATTTCACTAGGAAAATATATAATGTTTTGCACAGATTTCACTAGGAAAATATACAATACAAACAATTAATTGATTCTTGTGCAGTCTCAGCAATACCAGGGTTTTCTTTTCCCCTAAGGAAAAGGTCTAGTCCTCAAAACTGCTCAATGAGAATTATCTTGTACAGTTTCAACATGTAACAGCACATGCCCAAGCCCACCCTCAGCAGATATAATCCTCTTTGTATTTTGCCTTCCAAGCTTTCCCTCAAAGTTTTAGAACGCGTTCACTAGGGAGAGGTTTCAACACCCTCATAAAGAATGTTTAGTTCTCCTCTCCAACCGACGTGAGATCTCACACAACAAACAAACTTTTGAGCTCGGACATAGGTCATCATGTAGAACTTCAAACTAGCACCAAACGACAGGTTACCAACTTCAAACGAAAAATAACCTTCTCTTTCATATTAGGTTTCCATCCCTCCATCTTCGCCTTTAACATATTTGTACTTCAGATCATCTTCATGAATAACCGGTGGTTAAACACATGGTTTAAGAAGAAGTTAAATGTATTGACCTCTAAATCTAGAACTTAGCACGTTTCTTCAGAAACTCAAGAACAGTACAAGATTTGGTGTTCAACATATTGCCCTTAATTGAGAATGTAATGGACTATTTTAATATCCTACATCAAAGTAAATCAAGAATATGCTGTATGGATCTCATGTGGCCTTTAGACATGTAGACGATCTGAAGCCAAATCAACCAGATCCTCATCATATAGCAAAAGAAACCCACGTTGATTAGAACCAATTGAATTCTTACTATTAAATGTACGTATGATGTAAAGATGAGGCTATTCTTCCATACAATTCAATTGGCTTTGTGAGAAACTCGTTCATAAAATCAGTACAATTTGGACCAACCCAACTTAGACATACCTAATCAACCAACCACCAAAACCAGAACACACAAGAAGTGGCTATAACAATTATCAAAAGATCATAT